GCAGGCGAGTTGCGCAAGTCCTGATGCAAAAATGAAGAAGTGTTTCGGGTTTATGATTTCGGGAGTTCAGGGTTTAGGAAGAAGTGTTTCGTTTTTATGATTTAGGGATTTGGGGTTTAGGATTCGGATTCAGCGTTAGGGGTTCGGGGGGCCAGAAAGGTCTAGGGTTGTAGCACGTTGTGCGGATTAGGGATTAGGGTTTGGGTGTTTTCAATGGTCTATAGGTCTTAGGTGTCTAGTGAGTTGGGGTCGAACGGTTCGGGTTGAGTTTTACGGCTTTAGGAGGGTTTACGTAGGAGTCTGGGATTTGGGGTTGTGCCATGTTGTGCAAACGGACAACACCTTTGCAGGCAATTTGCAGGCACGAGATCATCCCCAAGATGATACGTAACTCAACATAAATTCCTGAACATAACAAGAACCTCGGTGAAGAGCTCGAAGCTTTGTCCAGGACCTTTTGCCGCTGCTGAGGTAGCCCTCAGAGGGCCCTTGGCAAGGCAGGGGAAGTTGGAGTCAGCTAGACTTTGGATTTTCGTTGGAGGTTTCTGTCTTCTGTGACATACACCCCATGACTTACGGAGTTAGGGTTGGGGCGTTTTGTTTAGAGTCTGTCGTCTGGCCTTACTGATAGGTTCAGGACTTGTAATCTGTGAGCCCCTTTGCTCCAAACCGGTGATTGGCCAAGGCTTGAGAACTTGAGGTTCGACCCTTGTGGAAGCAGGGACCCTGGGGCCTATATGTGGCACCGGAAGTAATTCCTAAACCCTGAATCCTATAAACTCTTGCAACTCGGAGCTTAAACCCTAAATAGGTCCTAGGTCTTGGAGCATGTAGTGCCCCACGAAAGGGACAGACGCCCCAAGTACGGCTCGAACCGTGGAGTCTCGCGCGACTCAGAAACGGCTGAGGTTTTATGCCATGCCTGATAGGTTGGTTGAAGGGTTGGGTTTCTGAGTTGTCGAATTCGAACCCCTGTATTTCGCAGTCTTCGTCGTGCAGCTCAGGCAGGCGACGATACCCGCTTGGACGCGCAGCACCTGGATATGCATTGGAAGTCACCCATAGTCAGCGGCCGAAAGATATCCCGATAACCTTGTGCAGTAGTCCTTTCATGCAGATGATGCTCATTGCACAAGTCTAGGAGCAGCCCTAGAATGCAGCTGCAAGGATCGAAATTACAGGGCTTACGGTTCCCAGACGCAAGATCGCCCGTCAGTCAAGATGCCAGCAGCCACAGGTATCGATATCCTTGTGCGCCTTTGCTGCAAGAGCTCACCCTAAACCTGTAAACCTAAGCCCTGAAGCCCTCAGCCCTGAAACCCTAGGCCTAGGATGCCCAGTAGTACCCTTATTCCTTTTTTTGTAGTCCTAGATTCCTTATAAAGTTACCCAATGCCAAAAAGGGAGCCCTTTCTATTCCTAGGTTACTGGGCATCCTAGAAGCCCTAAGCCCTCAGCGCTAAACCCTGAACCCTAAACAACCTTCCATCTTCGATCCCAAGCCCCGAAGCCCTACAACCCTAAAGGGAACTCCAGAAAGTTAGAATAAGGATTAATGGTAGGATCCCCTATAATTTACCTTAAAGGGGTTACGATAACCCTAAACCCTAAACCCTTAAAGGGGTTACGATAATGATATTCCAACTTTCTGGCTTCTACCCTAGAGTTTCAATTCGGATCTCGGGTCGGTCAAGGGCCCAGGCCCTGGGGGTTGATGTGACCTTGGGTTGCTGGGTTTTAGGAGACTAGGAGACCCTGAAATTGGTAGCTTTGGTAGATTAAGGTAGTCTAAGGGCTCACATAAGTGTGTGTGTGTGTATGTATGTATACATATATATATATATATATATATATATATATATATATATACATATATATATATATATATATATATAGGGCAAGGTAGTCGATATAAGGGGTTTGGGGTTTTGAGGGTCCATGGAGTTCATTCGTTCTTCGGGAGTTTCTGCTTAGTGGATTATTTGGACTTGGACTTTCTTGCTTGGCAAGCTGAGGGTGTCTGCGTGTTTCTGGCAGGGCTTAGAAACAGTTATGTTGCCAAGCTTCTCTCTGCCGCCTTTATCGGAAGCTCCAAACCGCAGCCCCCGGGCAGGAACCTAAATCCTGATCTAAACTATGATTCCTCAACCCGAGACTCGTTAACCTCGACTTCTCATCCTCAACATAGGGGCCTTGAGAATTAGGCTAGGGTTCTGGCGGGCATTATACTATAAGCTATAGGTAGAGGAAGGGATATCAGGGCCCCTGTATTCATTCAACTCTCAACCCCGATTCCGGAACCCCTTTCCAGGTTTCCAGGCAAGGAGACCACCGGTGACATCCTCGTCCCTGGGATATCGAAAGCAAATGTGCTTCGGAGCTGCTTCCCAGGGGTTACATAGGAGACATGATCTTGGCTTTGAGCGGGGTTCGGTTTAAGGCGTGGTTGTTTTCGCATGAGGGGCATACACCCTGGGCCTAAACCCTTAATTTCTGAACCCCAAACTCTTTCCTTCAATCCAGAGGTTGCAGGATGTCAACGAGGGGTGCCGGATTTTCAGATGCTTGGTGAGGAAGTTGCTGTCGAAGACCTACAGACCTCTGGGGCTCTGGGGTTTCACATGCACAATCCAAGGACCCACCGTCTCGGAGACTCCAATACGCCTGAGGTTGATAAAATACTAACAATACCAATAGCACAAAATTCCTGAGAGTATCGTAAGACTTATACCAATACGAATGAATAGTTAGGTTAGCAGTATCCATAGTCACTTACTTTAAGCTTCGACCCAAGACACCGAAGCCCCCAATGTCTTTTGTCCACTGCTCGCATGTAGCACTGGGGAGAAGCATTAAGCAAGCATGTTTACTGCACATACAAGCCAGGCTAACTAGTAGTTTGTTTGGGTTTAGCATGGTTCAGGGCTTAGGGTATGTGTACACCGGCGGATTGGATAGAGCTCCTATCAGGAAAAAGGGGTATTCGCATATGTTCATATGCCCGCGTAACAGAACACCAGGCCCTTACCCCGTTTGGTTCTGCGAGGTCCTACGCTTGTCCAACCTGTGCAAGCTCAAGCTGTGCCACATCGAGCGGCTCCCTAGGTCCCATGCGCTCGCGGTGGGGGGTGGGTGGGGGGGGTAGGGGTATACAGTGTTTATGATTTGGTTGTTTTGTGCAGTTTGGGTACTGGTGTTGTTAGGTTCGGGGGTTCGGGTTCCTATGGAGCCTGAAGACATGGACATGTCCTGGAACGGCAGGGCTGTAGAATCCAGAAACTGAAAACCCAAAAAGCCGAGGTCCTGAACCATAGAATTGTTTAAGGGTTGTAGAGCCAAAATGAGGCCCTTCATCTACATAGTCAAGATCCACTATTCTACTCTGCGGTTTAGTGATTTCCGGCCTGATTTTGAGAGTTGAGGGTTCCGGGCACAGGGGCTTTGGAGTTTAGAAGGATTTTCAGAGTTGAGCGGCAGGAAGCTGAGGTATGCTCTGCGATGTAGTCGGATCGTTGGGAGCTCTGTTTTGAAAGAACAAAGCATAACCAACAAGGAACCACGATGGATGATATAGGTAGTGTCCACAGCCTTCAAAGTCTAAGGCAGAGCATACATGCTTCGACGTACTGGTTCTTCAGATTTTTCTGGACCTATGGGGAGCCCACAGATCGATGGCAGAATGCAGCTGCAATGTAGCAGAAATTACACTGGGTATAGGGTTGGGGTTCTGGGTTTAGGGCTGTCAAAAGGCGTTTAGGGTTTACATGGGTTAGTGGCTCGAGAAGGTTAAGGCTCAAGGCGGGTGTAGATCCTTGGCAGGAAGTAAAGAGCACCCGAACGTCGAGAACACATCTGACAAACTTAGTCCTAAACCCCCAAAAAGCCGAACCTTAAAATCAAAGACTGAACACCTTCCCCAAGGGGTCCTAAGAAACTACATCGTAGAACGCAGGGTGTCGATATCAGGAACTGCTGTTATGATGATGATTCGGAAAATTTTCCCCCCGATAACGGTACCTAGGATCCTTTAGGTTCGTTAAGCCTGAACCATGCGACCCCCAGGTTTGATTCAGCTCGCTTCACTCTCATCAGCTGGCCAGGCACCGGAGAGCCAAGCCACAGAACCGAAGTCCCTGTCGAAGTAATGAGCATAGAAGGGTTTCTTCGCTTTGTCTATCATAGGGGTTTAACACTTGTGAGGGTTCTAGATTCTGAGCGAGTCTACGCAGGTTATATTTTCGGGCTCTGGCACACCTAAGTTGTTCGGGTTGTTTTAGCGAAGAGGGTTTGGGCTGGTGGGTGTGGGTTTAGCCACGACTGAGTCAGAGAGAGAGAGATCTCAACCCGTCGCTTCAACCTTAAACGGACTGTCCTGCTCGATTTGAGGGGCTGTTGACCCCAAGGACGGAGCTACGTACCCTGATGATGTGGGGCTCGGACTCTTGTAGGACTCTAAGCTTAGAAGAGGGAGGGTGTGGTCATAAGCTCGTTTACGTTTCAGCTTACAGCGACGTTAAGTTAAGGATAGATTTTAGAATGACCGTCACCTGGACAAAGCGCGGGTGGGGGGCTCCTGGTTTTCAAGTCTGAAGGGTTAATACCAGAAAAGTTATTACGTGTTAGGTATTCTTAGGCTTAGGTGCATGTGTGTATGTACATATGCAGGGACTACATACATACACATAGTTACATACGTACATTCATCTAACCATAGCACGATTTACCTAAAAGCACTATTCTAACTGTTAAGGCCCCTGTCAAGGCTCAAAAAGATGACCCTTCGCAGAACCCGTTGGGGGGAAGTAGTAGGGCGGCCTTAATCGTTAGAATAGGGTCTTGCGGTGTATGTATATGTTTTCAGATGTATGCATACTATACTTAGTAATCATATGATGGAACCCTAAGATTCTGATCAGCAAGACACCGACAGTACCGGCACGGAGTTCGTCAACACGTAGCCCTTTCATGCTCGAACTGGCTCCGGCCAAAGTCTTTCCCGCATGCTCCGCCTGACTTTGTGGGCGTTGCTGAGCCTTCTGGCGCTGGCAACGGGGCTGGAGAGGAAAACTGATTCAGAGCAGGTCTTCTTCGTTGGCAATAGCTACACATTCTTCTGGAATTTGCCTCAAACTGTGCAGGCAATGGCAAGGAGTCAGAACAGGAGCATGGAGGTGCAACAGTCTACTGCCAGCGGCGCCAGCTTAGAGCAGCACTGGAGCTTTGGCTTGAACGTGCAGCAAAATCAGTTTCCCGCAGATTTTAAAGCGCAGATGCATCCAGATTCAAGCAAGGCTCGTAGACCTTTGAAAGCCTCAAGCAGATAATTTGGTTTTGGGCTTCCACTGACATGTAAGGAAGGGTGAGAAGGGGCTACAAACTGTACAGCGGCTCCGATCTGACTCGTTCGACTCCCTTGTGCTGCAGGAGCTGCTAGGGCTAGGTAGGTAGGGGCTTCAAGCACACCGGTACTAAGCATTACTTTCGGTGTTTAAAGTCAGGCACCACTTGTGGTTTTCTGGGTTCAGGTTTTCAAGGTTGTTGCTTCTGCTATTTTTGACATGAGGCACCTGAACTGTGCTAAACGTGTGCTACAAGCACTGTAACAACAGTTCCTACAATTTCGGGCTGGTGCGGAGCAATTACCCAAAATGCTTCCCAAATGGTTCCCATACTAGTTAAACTACAACAGCTTAATTGTGAACCTCTGTTTTGGATTGAGATTCCTGCTTCTTCGTCCGGAGCGGGGCATGCTCTGTATGTAGGCGATGGAGTATGATCTACGTTTAGTGTTTAGAGGTTTCCGAGATGTGAGGACACTTTACAGATTACCCCTGGGGTTCATGATGAGAGCGGTTGTTCTGAAAGTGACGCATGATCAGGATCGGAAACTCCTGAAGCCAAGCCTCCTCTATCCCATAAACACCCCAACCCGGCAGACACAACCCGAAACTCTCCCGAAACTCCTCGTAGACAAACGAAGCCGCATGATCTGCACTCCCAAGCCTTCAATTCTTGAACTTGCTTAAATTCGGATCCTTTCACCCTCCCTTCCTTAAGGACGAAATGAACCCTAAAAGGGTTTAAGGTCCATATACCATGTAGGGACTCATAGTATATGGGTAAAGGGCCCCTACTTTTAAGGGTCATTTGGTCCTTCAGGTTCCCCCCACCCCCACCCTCAGATCACACACCCAGAGTTTTGCAACGCAGGATCACAGCCTTGCGTCAGTTGAGGCGCCAAAGGAGATGATCGAGTACCCTGGCACGTATCGCATGGGCTCCAACTTGACGCCATCTTTAGGATTTGAAAAACAAGTCTTATATGTTTAGTTCAGGGTTTTTCGGCTCAAGTGTTTCAGGGTGTATCTGTTTCGCAGCTAGTCGAATCCAAAATAAGTCTGGCTGGGCAGAAGCCTCAGTCCTGTTGAACCCTTTCTGCCCAACTGCTCAATCCGGCCTGTCCCTCAGCAGGTTTGAGTGTTAGGGGAAGGGCAGGCGAACATAGTACCATACTCGTCAACAATCGTGCCGAATCGTGGCCGGTGCCCGAAAACCGAAACTGAACAAGACAGCAAGACACACCCTGACGGAACCGTTTCAGAACCGGTCGAGACCCATTCATTCAATACTCCATACAACATTGTTTGGAAAATCCACTGAGGAACTATAAACGTCCTGCACCCTGTAGACGCTTGAATCGCTAAATCCTACACCCGAAACTCTGGAACAGCTTTCGTGCCATGCCTCCCAACATTCTAGCCTGCAGTTTCGTGCTCTTGCATTGCGAGACTCTTGATGATGGCATAGCAGAGAGAGAGAGAGAGAGAGAGAGAGAGAGAGAGCAGAAAGAAAGAAAGAGAGAGAGAGAGAGAGAGAGAGAGAGAGAGAGAGGGGGAGAGAGAGAGAGAGAGGGAGATAGAAAGAGAAAGAAGCCCTGGAACCCGAACCACTTCCGGGGCTCCCAAAACCTAAATCGGTAACCACCCTCCCCCCCGTCGTCGAAGCCCCAAGGTATGGCAGACTCCTGGCCCAAGAGGCCCAGACAAGAAAGGCGAGGGTCTTTGTCTTCATGACCTGGGCGCGAGCGTTTGATCCCGGCGCCTTTGACACTGCCTTGGGGTTATAAGGGTTTAGGGTTTGGGGTTCGGGGTTTCGGGGTTTTCGGTTTTGGGTTTTAGGGGTTTAGGGTTTAGGGTAAGACTTCAAGAGGCCTGGATGCAAAACGGGTTTAGGGTAAGACTGGTTGCGCAGATCTGTTAGGGACTTCTGCTGAACTCCAGTTGCAAGGAGGCCTCATAGATTCGTTTAGTGCATTTTAGGGTTCAGGGGTTAGCCTTCAGAAAGGAGGGCCCACTGGTCGAGGGTTTTCAGTGTTCCTGCAGTTCAGTTTCGGGTTCGAGGGTTTCGCATGATATGGTTATTCATACTATAATACTCACCAAAGCCCTAGTCAATTCTTTTGGAGGCAGCTATAACTATTCCCTGAAGCCTTGAAAACCCGAAATGCTGCAGGTATGCAATCAGCGGTGGAGACACAGTACGAAGCCTTGGCCAAAGACACCGGCGCGGAGGTGATCCCCGCGGGGCTCGCATGGCAACCTGGCGGAATCCTTATGCGAATAGTTGGGTTTGCATCGGGGACACCAACTTTCTCGACCCAACCAATTCCTCCCCTTGCCAGCACCCAGACTTCATCTTGGCCTCCTTAATCCAAACTCTACTATCTCTGCATGTGGACCCTGAGCCCTGAAGTCTAACCCTAAGGCTCAAAACAGCCCAAAAGCCTTAACTTATATAGTATGGTCTTCGGGAGTCCTTAGAGCCTACTGTAAGGGTAAACGTACCAAACCCTTATCTCGCTGCGCAGCGAAGGCAGCGTGCGCGGGAGCTTCGGGCTGGCTTCCCGCTCTATGCCTCCGACCAGCCTCCTCGCCCTCCAATACGTACAGCGTTGGGACTATAGGGTTGATAACGTTTAGGTGGCTGTAGGTTATACCTTATGCTTTAGGTTAGTGCTGTTCCTGGGTAAGTCTCATCCTGAGAGTTTTATTGGCCTTTCCGGGCGTTGTGATTTTCCTGTTTTTCCCTGGGTATGGCGGCGGAAGTAAGGAGTCATCCCACACCGCTGGGCGTTTATCTATCGGCCTGCGCCCTTCGGCTCCTACAGAGAGGCAGGTGTCGTTGATATTGATCCCCAGGTTTCCGAGTAGATAAATTAGGTGACGTCTGTGTAAATGAGGCAACATTACGAACAACTGCAATATGCTATGGATGGATGGGTAGTAGTGTGCGGATGTATGAGCGAATACACGTTGCTGTTAGTAGCTGCTAGTAGGACCTGTGCACTTGTAGGTGCTGAGATCGGTGCATGGGTCTGCGACTGCTGGAGATGGCACTATAGGGGAAACACCTTAAAGCTGGGCCTGTTGCAGCCAGTTATACTACATACGATTTAGCATTTGATGTTAATTGTTGCTATCAGTATTATACTGATATATGCCATAAAGAGACGTGTAATATGCTAGTTCAGTCTTCGCTGTTAGTAGCAGCCTCAGGTGTCTGCGGTCCTTTGTTATGTGCTCTTCTTCCTGAGTCACAAGTAGGCGAAGTTGCTCTGCCATACTTCTGAACTTCCTGACGACTTACATGCCAAGTCCCCTCGTCTCTTGCCAACCGAACTGAGCCTAGCCCCTTAGGATCGTGGCCCTGGTCAGCGTGTGACGACGGAAGGCATTCTAGCAGATCGCCCCATGAAGCATGCATTACCCCTGGACAGCTACACTCTAAATCGCTTTACCCCTTGAAGCACAGAGCCCTAACCCAAAGCCCTGCACGCACCCATAGACCCTAGACCCTGTATACCATCTCAATACGTACCCTCAGCACACACCTGTGTTTAGTCCCTAAATAAATGCCAGGGGAAGCCCTAAACCCTAACCCTTTCAAGGTTTCAAGCCCTTATGAAACTTCGGTTGCCGGGAACTCCCAGGTTTTCTATGGAGTTCTCACGCGTCGATCGCCGGTTGGTCTGCCAAGCCGATTGACAACTCAGGCAACTGGGTGGAGGAGGGCTTACAGGGTGTATGTAGGTTTTATCAAGGGGATGCTGGCATCCATGAAGTCCAGGTGTAGAATGTAGGATTTACAAGTTTATAAGGACTCAGGTTCATGGTTCAACCCCTGGTTATCGTTAGGTTGAGTTGTTTTGTTTGGTAGCTGCTCCGTGAAAACAATCATATTTTCGGTCGTATATCATATGGAATTCCTGTATCTACCAGTAGGCTCCATAGTAGTGCCTTTTTGGGATTACCTTATAGGATTCTATGAACCCCACAAGGGAACTACTATGGAGCCTCTAGGTAGGTAGGGCTAGGCCTCCGAAGGCCCCGGGTCCCAAACGCGGAAGCCGAGAAGGATATAGGAGTTTGCGAAATTTAGGGGTACCTTATTTTGGGGGCCTTATGATAAGGATCCTACTATTTAGGGTACTATATTAGGGTCCCCCATTTTCGGAAACTACCATATCTCGACATCCTCAGCAGCATCCGGTCGTTCTTTCGCTGCGGTCTACCCTGTGGCAAAACCCGGCGAAGCCCTTATGGTTTAGAGTTTGGGGGGTTTGGGGTTCATGAAACCCTGCCCACACTGAGGACCTTGATGGGGAGAAGATTTATCTTAATATCCAGTCGGAGGAGGACGCGCGCTTTTGCCAGGAAGTTGCGGAGGACGGGCTGCACTCAGGGATCCTGGGCGTTTATAGGGTTCAGCTTTAGTTTCATATGCGCTTTGGTAGGTTTAGAACCTTCTCATACTCTCCGATGTGGCCTTTCAGGTGGTAATTAGCAATTTGTCCACAGACCAACCCGTACATCCTGAACCCTAAACTCCGAAACCCAACGATGAATTATAATAAAAAGCACCGGGCCCGCAGACTTCCAAACCTTGTAATCGTGGGTGTGTCCTTTTCAGTAGTTTACTACTCGATTCCTTGGGGTCTGCCGGAGTTACATGTGCTGGGTGAGATCAGACTCGGACGCTCCTGACAGTTCTTGGCTTAGGGCGGTTGTGAGCTGATGCAGGGGACGTGGGCGCAACCCGTCCGAATCCCAATCTCATGAAGCTTACTGAAGCACCCGAAGCTGCTAGAAAGACCTGTCGCGAATCCTCAGAAGGGAATCCTAAGTTCAAGAAGCTTTGTACAAATGTCTAACAACCACAGAGATTAAACGCCCTTGTAGAAGGAATCGAAACGCACCCATCAATCAAACAAACCCTCATGATCATGAGGAGACTCTTCTGTCCTACAGGCGGTCGCGGCTCTAATTCGCCCCGGTGGGAGCATTTCTTTTTTGAAAAGAGGGGCCTCAGCTTAGGATTAAAGATTGTAATGTCTAAGTCGAAGGCTTAGGTCTCATGGTTTTAAATCGATGCCGGCTGCATGCTGCAAGACTCTTGCGGTCCGGGTCTAAAAACACAGGTCCAGAAGTACCGAAGTAAGAGCAATGTTGGGACGCTACTTCTGCAAGGACTCTGCAGGGAGGGCAAAAGCTCAAAAGCGTAAAGCAAGTGTGCTATGGGGGAAAGCCGTTTCCGTGTTCGTGCCTACCATGGTCTGACCTGCCAGATTACTTTCACATGCCTTGGTTCATTCCTTCTTTGGGTACGCTCTCAGTAACTGTAAGCTTTCACCGAAATCAGAGCGGGCCTGCTCATGTTATTACTGACGCCACGCCTTCTCTCTCACAGAGGTTTGTTTCCTTCGGCGTCGGGAAAGTAATCTTTTACACAGGAAATCTGACTTCTGACTACTGGCCTTAGTCGCTAACATGGGGTTAGGGGTTAAATACATATAACAGAAGACACTTGTATCTAGGAAACATGTCTACATTGGCCGGCCTCTTTTGCCGGACAGAAAGAACTGTCTCGGTCGAACGGGCCTTGCAAGGGCACTGGGTGCCGTATAGTTCAGGGTACGTAAGTGGGGGATGGGGAGCTGCAAATGCATCTTAAGGGAGCGACAATTGGCACTGCGTCAAGCATAAGGGGAGCAGTCAGTTAAATTGAACCCCTACCAAACGGAGCCTCAATTTCGTCCTGCTGGCTTAAGCAACTGCACTCCTCGGGGTTGACAATCCCTTGAGGCCCCTTCTTTTCAAGGTCTTTCTGCCCCTACTTGCAGGTTCGTTGGTCGCAATGGCGTTAAACCATTTCCCTTTCGACCACCCATGACCCTACAAGAAGGGAAGGGCCCGTTTTTGCACCTTTTGTGGCCAATCACACAGGCCGGTCCAGGGCGAGGATGCTGAAACGATCCGGCACCCCATGTTGTGGGACCTCAGGAAATAGAACCGAGGAGTCCGAACATAGGATCCTCGAATGAATCTTAAAGACAGCAGCGCGAACACGTGCGCACACGCGCACACATGCACACATACAAACACGCACCCGTAAACCGAAAGCTGCGTGTGCAGAGCCATTGTGTGCAGTGATCTTGCGTTGGCTCGATTTCTTGATTCCGTTGCAATCGTATGTTGTACGTTGTTTTGTGGCGTTGTTTTGCGAGCTTCTGATAACTGCCACTGAAGCTCATTCCAGGTCAAGCACCCCATGACATCTCACAAGCCCATCATGACTTTCATGCTTGATTCAGAGTTTAGAGCCCTGAACCCCTTCAGTCAAGGGTGCAGGATTGTTTGAGCACGTCGGCCCGCACACTGACCCGTAGGGGTAGCCGAGTCGGAGCCATTTCCTGGCCTGCGCAGCCAGAGGAACAAAAGCCTGCCGAAGCTGCACAGAGACAGTAGAAACTGCCTGCAACTCCCTAAACCTGAATCCTACACCCAAGGCCCACCTAAGCCCAGAACATCCCAGAACCCTGAAGCCAATATACTGGTCTGAACATTCGGCTAAAAGTTATAGCACTCGAATCATGTAAGTCCGCTAGATTCAGAGCTTCAGCTCGGAGCGCCTGGAGGCCGTCAATCCTGCAGCTGAAATCCACGAAGCGCTCAGATCCACAATACCTAAACCTCGAAAGCCCCAGACCAGACCCAAACCCTATCACAAATTCCGTTGTGAGCACGGGGTGTGAAGTCAGAATATCGAGCTGTCTGCCGATCCGAACTTAAATACAACTATAGTTCATCATAGCATATTATTATACCATATATCGTATATGGCATAAACAAATAGATATATCTATAAATGTAGAAAATTAGTATGTATACAGTAATCTATTATGTATAGGGTGTGCTTGCCTAGTCAATGGCTCAACATCCTGCTCATGGGGTTTATCTGGTTTACTATCCACCGTTCGCCATCATGTGAGAGGTTGGTAGGGTTTGTGCATGTCAGGATTTCTCATGGTTCGTTTGAAGCTTTTGGCGTGTATGATACAGGCATGCCCATGTTAGGCCGCCGAAACAGTGTGGATTCTGACCGTGCAGGCCTGTCACATGCTCAGAACTCGCAGCTTACCGTCGAGATCACCTGTGTCGACCGAGAGGATCAGTTTCGAAGGCCGACCCTGGGGTTAATGTTCATTCAGGGCTCGAAGCAGATGTAGTAGATAGCCAAGAGAGGGGCCTCGACAATTATCCATGCTATCTTTTGGGGGATTCCTTATTCAAACTATAGTCTAATGCACCCCCAAACCCTGGTCTGTAACTATCAAGCCCTCTATATTTCATCCCTACAATAGCCCTTCTAGACCCCTTCAAAGGAGAACCCTATCCTAACTATTAAGGCCCCCCTATATGGGAGTCCGAAAACAGGGGGCCCTAATATAGTACCCTAAATAGTAGGATCCTTACTATAGGGACCCCCAAATAAGGTACCCCTAATTGTCGGAAACTCCCATATGAGACCCCCCAAGCCCGAAGCCTCGAAAGTCCCAACTCTAAAGCCGCAGGCTCCTCGCCGCCGAAGATGCCGTCCATGACTTGGCAGCAAGTGCCAGCGGCAGGAGCCGCAACAACCCCGAAACCCTAAACCCTAGAGCCGCAACAACCGAAAATTTGAAGGGTTCTCAATTTGTAGAGGGTTTGGGAGTTTAGGTTTGAGGGGGTTTAGGGTTTATATTGGCTTTGGGGTTGCCGACATTTACCTGCAGCGGCAACGGTACAAGCATTTAGTGTAGGTTAATACAGTTTTCATGCCACAACTACAAAGGAAAAATCATACCGGGTTCGCTTTCGCAGGTACACCCTAGGTATGCGCAAGCCGGGCTTTGAGGTCGTTGCTGGTTCTCGCAGGTCCGGGATCAATGGTTTTGGGGCTTTCGTTTTGGAGATTGTAAAAAGGAATACCTCATAAACAAGTATATAGCGCCTTCAAGAAGGAAGAGAACGAGTTCAAGATCTGGTGGTGAACCCGGAACCTGAGACCTCATCTACAAAGGGCACGCCCTGCAATCTGCAGTTTTCCACTGCAGGGCTTCAGCTGAATTCACAAAAGGTTCTCACCGAACTTTTTGCACGATCCTGCAAGTCAATTTGAGCCACTAGGACATGTTTTTTTGTAGTGCTCTAGAGTTGACTATCTATCTATATATATATATATATATATACATATATATATATATATATGTATATGTTGACTTCGTAGAATCGAGAGGATGCCCCAAAGCCTGGGAGCAGCGCCGGAAGCGACCTTCAACGCGCACCTGAGCTTTTGTGACGTTTTCTGAGCTTACTACTAGAGTCCACCAAAAGAATGTTCCATATTGTATATTTCGAGGCTTTAGGCAGGCTGTTTCTATTAATTATTCGTTCGGCCAGGAGGGTTCACGATTCAACAAATGAGGGTTCTTGATTGAAGGCTCAGTAGTTGGGAGCTTAGACATTGGAGGTTTGCTTGGTATTTGGGTTCAATGGATCCTCCTGGTGTCCTTGAGGAGGTGATGTAGCATGTCCGTTGATGCAATGAGTTCGAAAGGCCCGCAAAGAGAGCAAGGGGAAAGTATATCTTGGATGGTTCTGAGAAGTGGGAAAGCACCTCTCGTCCGAAAAGCTGGCACCACATGCTAGAGGTCTGCTGCATAGCTCTCAAATCAGGTCCCTATCTACTCTAATAATTGTCACAGACCCCAAACGATTTATGGACCCAGGTACTTGCTCCTGGTGCAGGCGTTTGCGGCACAGGTGCTCCCGGAAGGGGCCGTGACCAGGCCAGGCATTCAGCAGGTGTAGCCTTCCGCAAGGCCTAGCTCCTGCGATAAATTGTCATCGAGGGGTCGGAACGATTAGTAGTAGCGTATCCCCTGATTAGTGCCGCTAAGCCATACCATGATGAACCAAAGCCATATTCTTAAATATTAAAGCCCCTGTATGAGACGTTTGATTTAGTAGATCCCCTGTCTTTGCGGGCATTGATACTAGGAGCCTTATTGACCTTGTTCTAGCTGCCTAGGGCATACATTCGTGCATTGGCGTCGGTCAACGCTTCCACATGCTGCACCCCCTGAACAGGGGGTGAACTCAAAGGGTCCTTAAGTACCTGTATGGTAGAACGCAGATTTTCTATAGTAGGAATCGCCGTTATGATCTGTGCAAGTATCTCCTGTAGCAGTACCTTAGACCCCTTGGGTAAGAGGAGGGGCAAAAGGTGCGTCCCTGGCCGGAACATCTGACCACTTCGCTTCTGCGCCTTTAATTCGTCAACACAAAAGGCCCCAAACCCCAACATACTCCTATGTATGTATATATATATATATGTACACACACACACACACACTCCTGTTTTGCATGACCCCTGAAGCTAAAAACAGCCCGAGCCAGATTTGAAGAGCCCTAAACCGACCCAAAAACCGCTGGCTTCCAGGGCGCAGGCCATCTGCCTGGCCCTCTACGCCCTCCAACGGCCTTTGCCAGGCTTGGGAGCAGGTTTAGGGGATCTCTTCTCCAAGAATCCGTTTTTAGGGGGTCTTTGCGGAAAGAATCGGTTTTTGCAATGCTGTAAAAGGCTTCATCGGATTCTGACAAACAGTGTTTTCAGTGTTTGGGGTTTAGGGCCAAAGTTTAGGGTTTCCCCAGTCTTGGGGGGAACGCTTGAACCCTTAAACAACAATTTTCCGCAGTGACTGCTTAATCCCCCTTAAAACGTTGAACTTTAACCTCCTCGCCTGGCTCGGCCTAGCGGTCCGTGCTTAATAACCTCAGGCCACAGCATAAGCTTATACTAGGCATGTATAAGCCCTACAAACCCCTCATCTGCAAGGAGTCGTCGAACATGTTGCTGGTCAAAAAGTGGACCTTAACCTATGAACCCAAAAGTGCCCAACGCGGAGGTCGGAGAATTGGCAATCACATCTTTGTATAGTCTGCTTATGGTTGTGGTAACTTGTACCCACCAAAACCTATTCTAACCAGGAAGGCCCCTACACTAGACCGCTGTAGTTAGTTATTTGTAGTCTTACAGCAGGGGTTTAGCAAACAGGGGAGTGCATTTCATCCTAGATCCTAATTCCTAATCCCTACTTCATAAGCCACAATTTAGAAATCCTCATTGCCATATCCGGATAAGTCTAACATTGGAGTCGGAACTGCTACTAGATCATTCCTGACTTTGCCGTTGAAAACGATAGCAGTATACACCCCAGACCCCATTCGAATTAGGAACCACCCTATGCCCAAAGCCCTGAACTTTAAACCCCTATATGAATTACCCGGCAATATCCGGCAATGCCGCCTCGTGGTTGTTAGGCAGGGAGGGATGAACAACCACCCAAACCTTAAACTCGAAACCTCAAGCCCGCACTCTAAACCCAAAAATTTCTACCCTAAACCTTAAAAACTTGAAGCTCTCTAATTTCTACACACCCTATACCCTCAGCTTCAAGCCCCCTGAATGTGAAGCCGTGAGGCCAGCATTCCCTGGAGCGTCGAGGCCAAGGCCCCTTCAAGTGCCGGCATCAAGACAAACACTGCTTAGGGCTTAGGGTTTTTTTGGGGTTTAGGGTCTAGAGTTTTTTCGAGACAGTTTTTAAGATTTTTTAGGGTTTAGGGTTTTTTGGGATTTAGGGTTTAGGATTGGTTGGGGTTTAGGGTTCAGGGTTTTTGGGGTTCAGAGCCTTTTGGGGGATTAGAGTTTCGGGGTTAGGGTGGGATTCGGGGTTCAGATTTCATCTTTCGAGACGCCGGCCGGTATTGGGTGCGAGCTTAAAGAAGTAAGATAGGGGCCTTCATAATTAGAATAGGGATTTGGGGCCCATTATACGATAATTACAATAAGGAACCCCCCCAAAATAGTATAGGTAATGATTAAGGCCCCCATAGTATGATGCTTGATTGATGCCGCCCTGCGCCTGTCGCCGTAGAGTTAATTTTTGATGCGAGCTTCACCCCTAAGGAAACTGAATCCTGAATCCTAGACCCCTATGAACCCTAGACTGCCCTAGACCTTCTTCGTGCGATTTGCAAGAGTCAAAAAACCCCATAGACCAATCCGGAGGTTTTACACCTTAGTGTTCCATGCTCCCAGAAAACTCTAACCCCCAGTTGAACAATACTTCTCAAGATTCCTTCATGGAGCTTGCAGAATGATGAAATCCTTGCAAATCCTTTGTAGATCCCTTATAAGTCTTATAAAAACCTTCTAGAACGCCCAAAGACCAGTGGCTTGGAACGCTGCAAACTTGATGGAGCGAACTCCGCAGCCCTAAAGTCTTCATACCCGAAACCCTAAGCTGCTCTAACCCTAAACTCTTATCCCTTGTACCTTAAACCCCTAATACCCGAAACCCTAAACCGGCCTAAGCCGTTAGTACGAAGCCCAGCCGGCCCCCCAAAAGGCCCTCAGCCCTCAGCCCCTTGAAGCCTTCGGAAGCCATTAGACTGAGTTGTTGAGTTTTTTTTTGTTTGCTGCAGGGGCTTATATACCTACAGAAAGTTTTGCACGTGTCTCTACATCAGTATATATGTATGTATGTGTTGATGTACACATACGCATATGGATATACATACTTCTACAGATATATGCATATGTACCCATGCATGCAGGCATGCATGCATGCATGCATGTGTTTATGTATGCACATATGAGCATACATACATACCTACATGCATGCATACATGCATACATGCATGCATGCATACGCACATACATACATATATACATGTGAGTATGTATGTATACACATGTCTACATTTGTCAATAACCTATATGTGTATCTATAGCATTCTATATTGCCTATAGCCATATTTTACCTGTATCTGTATCTATGTCGACAGAGAAAGAAAGAAATAAAGACAGAAAGAAAAAAACCTACATGAAAAAGAATCAAAGGAACTATAGAATGACAACAAGTAAACATATATTGTTTATATTAAACACATACAGGAAAATAAACAATAAATACATAATACATAAAAATAAAATAAAGAATTAATGAAATGCATAAGGACATTAAACAAATTAATATGGAATGAAATGAAGAATTGCATAAATGAAGAGCTAAACGAACAGCTTAACAATAATAAAAACAAACAAGCAAGCGAGCGGGAGAAAGAGTGTGGTGCTGGTATAAAAAATGCAGGTAGTCATATTCTATGTTACAGAGAGGCAGGTAGTAGACATACAGGTGCACAGGCAGGGAGTTGGATAGGGTAAGGAGGAAGAGTGAGAAGACCTCTTAAGATCTTGACTTCAGTCTTACATGGTTCTGAACCTGTAAACCCTTACGTTCGAAGTTCTTTGACCCCTGATTTTACGCACCTCCCTGCAGCTCCAGATTTGTTTCACGACTTCCTACACTTCTGCGTGGACTTCTTTGGAGAGGATTGTTGTGAGAAGAGGTGGGGACCATGCGGTGCAAATGGATCAACAAAGTGGACAGTAGAATGGTGCAAATTAGCCGCAACCCTGCAGAGGGAAGCGGTAGCAACCAAAGAGGGTTCCGGGAGCGCTTTTTCAGGACACTCCAGAGGCTTCAGTTTAGGTGCCTTCTGTGGTATCGTCGTAGAGCTGACCCTGCTTTTCATGCCCTGGGTTGCTGTCTCGTGGTCGTGTGCGCGAGGGCTATACCTGTGGTCATCGTCGTGGCGTAGGCCCTCGGAAGCCGTTCAAAAGTGCGGACAGCCCTTCCTCAACACTAAAGCCTTGATAGTTCAGAACTTCAAGACGCAACGAACGAAGGAGCTGCTCTAATAACTTAGTTGCGTTGTTCAGTGGTCGCTTTCATGAGAGCGTGGTCTTTCATACCACTGATGCATCCTTACGGCACACCGTATTAGTACGCGTTTGGTCTTCTGGCGAAGACTGGCTATTCCTTGCCACTCAAGTCGTCCGACAGGCCGTGCAAAGCATATGCAGGGAAGTGTCCAGGTGCCATGGCCGTGGGCTTAAGCATTCTTGAGTTCCGGGGTCTACAGTTCCACAGTTTCGGGCCTAGTTAGGGTCATTTTCATAATTTTCATATGCTGCCAAAAAATTTACAGATCCCTCTATGACCAAAATCAAGCACCCAATGCCTGCTGCAGGCTGTGCGACCTCTTGGCCATCGATGCTGCTTGTCCGTAGTTAACAAGCAGCTCCCATACCCGGGCAAATGCCAGGTCAAGGGTAAGGTCGAAACCAACGCTCCATGTCCAGCAGAATAGCTCTGGGCTTGTTGAGCAAGGTCACGTGGCTCGCTAAAAACCCATAGATCGTTTTACTCTTGCTTGGGCCAGAAAGGATCGCGACAGTCCAAATCGATCCTGTTGAAGCGCCTCGACCCCCAGCCGTTGTAGCTTTGATGCCCAAGAGTTTATACCAAAAGGCACCAGGCCACGTCCCTGAGCATCGTAGGCCCTACAATGTCTGATGCTGAGTGGAGTCTCTAGCCGGAGATGAGTTCTGAGCCCATGAAACTTAACTACCAAACTCAAAACGCCCCTGACAAGCAAACCGTAAACACTTGACTCCAACATAAAGGCTTACACCCTACAACCCCTCAACACATTGACATATCTAATTACTAACAGTATCTACTAACCCCTCAAGCCTAATCCCTGAAACCTCTCCCTCAAAACACCCAAGCCCCAATCAAAGTCCCTCCGCCTAAGCCTAAAACCTCGCAACCCCCAAACCCCTTGTCTCCCCCTAACTTCTCAAAGCCCCTACCCTCAGGCTCTAAGGACTCACATATTAAGGCTTTGGGGCCCAAAGGCCATACTACATAAGGCTTTTGGGCCATTTTGGGCTAAGCTCCAACTCCTAGCGTGAATTTTGCTAGGTGAATGGGTCTGCTTGGCGCCGCCTAGCGGCGGATTCGGGGCACTTCGGCAGCAGGATGTCTTTGAACAACAGATGGTTTGCATTAAGTTGTACGGGATCTATGATGTTAGTTTATCGTTGGCGCCCTGTCCGGAATTTAAGGGATCGAGATTAGTTCTGTCATATAGGGAGTTTTGTCAAGTGCGAGAGGGTTCGCGATGTTTTTTATTGGCCCTAGGCCAGGCTTCTGGCCCAGTTTTGGATTTAGGGCTTCGTATTTCATACCGAACCCTAAGTAACTAACAATGCTATCGATCGCTGCTCCTTGTTGCTAGCTGTCAGGCTATACTACACCTTAAAGCCTTTTTTCTACTTAGTCTTAAGGCCCTTACATTAATTGGCGGAGTCCAATCAAGAAGCTCTTGCTTGCAATAGGGCCCCCTAAATGAGGATCCGGTCTTCTGGGTGGTTTGGACGCGGAGTGTCTTGATCCGGCTTTGCGTTTCGAGGTGAGGTGTTGGAGCTTGTAGTTGAGGCTTCTGCTGCTGCAAGGCATGTAACCTTCAAGACTCTTGTAAACACGGACAGTCTTGTGTTTCTTTTGTTTGGTGGCAGTGGGGTTCTTCTGAATAATTGCCGTCTCACGAAGACTTTGATAGCCGTAGCATGTACCGGAACCCTTACAGAACCCTTACCAAGACTCTAGGTGCGCTTTGGTTTGAAGCTGGTCGTGCACAGGTGCGAGCTCTACATGTACACACCGCCCAAGGGCGACGCTGCAGTGGCATCAAACATCGGACGGACCATTCAAACAGAGCCTCGGTGACTGTTCATGTTGTTAGTGTAGGGGTGCAGTTGTTCCAAGAACTTGGAGAGAGCATCAGCATCCCCAAGCCAAATCACGCAATATAGTACAGTATTTCTACCATGACCTAATATCATTTGTTACAATATAATATTTATATAATTTGGAACTAATAGGTTCGCAACCGTTAGCCGCCACTAGAAGACTCCGAGCAAAGGTGCTATAGAGGCCTCAAGCTACTCCTTAGGGTTACTTCAACATGTTTCGCTATAGCGTATCTCAAAAACAAGTTCCTAATGATTTAAAGCCCCCGTAGTACCCCTACCTTCCACGACTTCTCCGATGGGCTCAGGAAGCCGTAGCACAAGGAGCGAAGGAGCTGTACCTCGCTTGACTTGAGCATCGGGGGGTTCGGTTTAGGCTTTGGGTTTAGGATTGCTCAAACCCGGGTACGGTAACCCTAAACCCTAGAAAAGCCCTAAACCATAAACCTTTGCTCGGTTAGGGAGCTTAAACCCGCAAATTCGAAATTCCTGAGCAAAGCCTTTCAAATCCACAATGGAGCTAAAGATTGCTGGGTGTTTTCGTTGCAAGCTTTTTGCTTTCTTGGATTTGTCTTAACCCTGCAGCGTCAAGAAAATCAACTTAGGGGTTTTGCCTGAACCGGGGCTTGGGGCAGGGATCTGGATGTTTTGATCCTGTGTTTGAGGTTTCTAGGACGCAGGCTGGGATGTGTCTCCCAGGTCCCAGGCGGTTTACATTCCCGTCATGTCCACACTTTTCTTTTCTGAAGCCGCCGTTTCCTTCTGCACTCGTCGTTTCGAGCGAAGGGGACTTAGGAAGTCCGTTGTTGTGGGTGGAGGGCGGGTAGAGGCTGGCCATTCTAGTAACCAACATACAAACAAGCAGCAATGCAAAACTTGTGACCAGTCACCATTTTCAATCGCAACACCTGTTGTGGTTGTAGTCAGGAAAGCATATTTTGCTGTTCCTGGTTCCAGCGGTACGCAGGTATCACGACCAAAGCCTTCACGTCTGCAAAATTTGGGGCTGCAAAGTTGAAGTTTGGGATTTTCGTCAACAGCAAGCCGACCTTCGCCTACTCCCTGCGCTGCCCCAAGCCAAGGCTTGACGAACCCTACACCCTAAACCCTAAACCTCAACTCCCTGGCTTTTAGGGTTTGCTGTCGGGTTTCCTTGCCATGCTTTTGAGGCTTTGTGCTGGCTACGATCTTGGGCGCCTTGGTAGAGATGGCGACTTTTTCGGGTGTGACTTTCGCTTAGGTTGCCATCTGCAGTTAGCCCAAGCCCTCAAATCTAACGTGGCAAGATCTCCAAACCTCGACCAACTTGAAAGTCATCACCCCATGTCAACCTTTCAATCCACAACGCTCAAGCATCGCAAACCTCAAACTCCCAACCCCCTGCACCCTACCTTACACCCACACCGCTCAACAGCCAAACCCTGAGATCTTACAAATTCTTCTGCGCACTGAAGCGCGCGTTCCAAGAACCCCAAGCTGCCCTACAGTAGAAGCCAGAAAGTTGGAACATGGGTTTAGGAGGATTAGTGCTAGGATCCCTTATACTTTACCTTAAGGGCATGAGGATAATGATGTTCCAACTTTGTGGCTACTACTGTATACCCTTCCATGCGGGCTTGATGCCCTAAACACTAAAACACTAAACATAAAATCTATTGTAGGCCTGTTCCTGGCTTAAGTTTCTTAATTAGGAGTTCCCGATCTTTTTCAGCTGAAGGGGAATGTTGAACGTATTGCTCGTGTCTATAAAGTGCTGGGTATAGGTGTCGGAAAGATTGCTAGTAGTACGCCTGCAACATCCTACAGCACACCACAAAGACCAGGCCAGAACTTGGAGGGTGTCACGAATGGTTTGGTTCAAGGTATATATTTGACCTGTACATTCATATTATGGGATTGCCAAAACCCCTTACTTGAACCCAATGCCAGATGAGCACTTGACCGTAGCCCTCAAGCGCTGAACAATCCAGCACTGGTGTGGAGACTCAGGTCACGACACCGGAGCGACAACAGCAACAACAACAACAACCGCAGCAACAGCAGCAACAGCAACAGCAACAGCAATCAACCCCAAAGCCTGAACCTCTGAAATTTGCATGCTGCACCGTTCATCCCCTGTCGCAGGGCGGGCCAGATTCGGCAGACGGATTTCCGATGCTAATTGTGTCTTTTCGCCGGTCTCTGGAGGGTGCAACATAGGAGCCTTGATAAGTCGAAAGGTGTTTGGGGGTAGGTGAGTATATTGTCGCACGGACCACAGCGAATGTTGTTAGTAATCCTACTTCCACTACCTGTTACAACGTTGTGTCAAAGGGTGCAGGACATGTTTGCTCCGGAATCATTTCGGGATTATGGCTGGAGCTTGGATCTCACGTAGCAACTATCTTCGGAAGCAGCTAGCGTGGAACCTATGCCACGACCCTCCCTGTACCCTTAACCGGTGTATAATGGAGGGCCTTTTTAGGTTTCTTTGTTGCATGCTCCAGAACCCGGCCGCGATCAAAGCAAAAGGTGTCCGCCTGCGCCTGTGTCAGAAACCTAAACCAAAAGCTTGCCTGCATTCCTTTGGGGGGGATGCATTTACATATCCCCCCCCCCCCCAAAAAAAAAAAAAAAAAAGGAAAGCAATAGCCCAAAACCTATAAAAGGCCATTATTCCACATACTTTTGGGGTCCAGATAAGTCAAGACTCCTCGACCTAGGGAGGTATAGTCTGGGATAAAGGCTTGCGGTTTCAGGGAGCTGTTGGGTGGATTCGAGCATTGAGACGTGGCACAGGGCTAGACATGGTTGAGGGTTTAAGGTTTAGGGATGGCAGGCAGCTTGTAGAAGAGCTAGGCCTGGGTCCAGTAGCAAAAGGGATGGAAGGCCGAGAATAGGGTTTCGGTTACAAGATTTTATGTTCTCTCGAGGTCAGGCTTTCAGGCGAGTCTAAAGTGAAATACGATCTGCATATAGCGCTGGACAAGTCCAGGGGTTCAGGGCGTTTAGGCTAAGCATCCCGAGGCACAGGATTGATGCGTTCCATGTTTGTCTCTGTGGGTTCCTACTGCCTTTCGTCACTGTTCCTGCGATCTTTCGCGGAAGTCATCGAACCAAGGATTCTTGTTACATGTTTACAAGTATGAGTGTTCGTTCTTTCAGCGGTGTTGAGTCTCCGTTTGGGTGCCGGGTTGTTGACAGACCATTAACAAACCCCCTAATGCCCAAACCGCTAAGTGCTAAGCCCCTAAAAGCCCTAAGCCCCTAAAGCCTGGGTTTCTGCAGGCCCTCTCTTGTTTGTCAGGCGCATCCCTGAAACGTTTTGCAGATCCGCGGCCTCGAAGGCTTTTAGACAGGGCAACCTTAGCCTCAATCGGCTTAGGTCTAGGGAGGTTTAGTATACTGATGAAATCATACTGCGCGTGTCACTTTCAGGCATCCGCCGCAGATCTCCTGGTGCAAAAAACGAAAAAGCGTGCCAATAACGTAAACCCCGGCTGCACTTGGAATCTGCAGGACTGTGAGTGTCACACTTGGCCGACTTAGCCTGTTCCTTCCAAAAGCCAGCTCCCCCTCCAAAGATGATGGCCGAGTGGCCAGGGCGAAATTCCTCATTCGATCACAGCGTTTGCATGATCACAGTCTTCTTTGCTTCTGGTCATACTTAACCCAGCTACTGTCAGCACAACAACGGCCACTCTTGCTACCGCTGCGATGTAAAACTTGGTACGGGGACCTATCCTGACATGACTGCCTGCGGATACTGCAAGCGATTTGTGGCTGCGCAGAAATTCGTTGCTTCAGCAACTGGTGCGGATGAGGCTTTGAGAGCCTTCCGGGTATCTTCAGCTGAAAACCATGAGTTTCACAGCTTACACCCTAGATCCCTAGGTTCAGTACCATCCCAAACCAGGATTGGGTTCTGGCGTACTACGCTTTTTCTATATACTGTTTTGGGGTCTGGCTTCAGGATAGTAGGACATTTGGCATTACGACAGTTTAGTGTTTATGCTTCGTGGCCCAGCTGTTTGTTGCGAGGAAGGCCGATAAAGCCTAGGCGGCCCCGGGCAATCAGAACCCTGTCCGGAGGCTGGTTCTGTTCTACGTACTGTCGGTTTTGCGGCAAGCATCCTTGACCTGCAGTCTGACTCGCCCTTGTAACATGCGGCCTTACACAAGCTAGAACTCAGCAAGGCCGCCTTATAAACCCTAAACCCTTGTAAGCCAAATAAAGCCTTAATCCCAAGAGGCGGCAGCCTTGTGCAGCTCGAGATCCGGGTAGTCGCTTTCAGAGCCCGGCACTCTGCCGACTGTGCGCGGAGGGACTCGCAGCAAGGGGCTCAAGGCTAGTGGCTACCCAGAGGCCCCAAAGCAGTTCCTTTTTGGGATTACCTTATAAAGGATTGTATATATATATATATATGTATATATATGAACCCCAAAAACGAACTACTATGGAGCCTTAGGGTAGTGGGTGTTGGATATTGTGGCCTGAATGGCCAGAAAACTAGTGCCCGGTCTCGAATATTATAGGACTCAGAGCCATCAGCAGCATCACAATAACAAGAGGAAGCATCTGCTCAACAGCAGTACTTCTTGATGACGGCTAAGACATCGAAATATGTGATTGCATACGCCGGGGTATTCAGCAAGATCAGAAGGATTGCCGACGACACCCATTTTGCGCGACATTGACAGACGTCAGCAGAAGCCACATCCTCATCATCATCGACATCATCAACAAAATCATCAGCATATATATATATATACATATACAGAGAGGGGCTTTGCAGCACTCACCACTGCCAGTACTGATGAAGCCTTGCCCCGGGAAGCTTGGTCCCTCAGGCGTGGCCTTCGATTCCTTTTCCGTGCACTCGAGGTTCTATAGGTTGGAAACGCATAGTTCAAAGTCCCAAGCATACCCCCTGAACGGCCTCAAACTCCTGATAATCGAGAACTGCTAATCATATATGTAATCCTAGTCCCTGCCCCGCACAGGCCTTCACCTTGAGGCCAAAACCCCGCAAGCTATAGCTGAGGCTAAGGCTGCATGTACGGTGTGGTCCAACAGTGGACACATTGGCTTGCATTCTCTATTTCAAGCTGCCGTCAAGGCAGCAGTTGATATGTTTGGGCCACTTCTGGGCATCAACTGCGAAGTTGAAGTTGCTGATGGTGGGTTGGCTTGTCATTATCCCCCAAGCCTTACCCCTTGCACATTAAGTCAGGCCTCAAAAAGCAAGTCTTGACCTGCACCACTGCGCGACGGCTTCTTTAGATGTCCTGAACCTTTGCTCTGAGAGTGTAGGTTCTACCTGCTTAAATGCTCAGCGGACCTAGTATGTTGAGGATGGGGTTTAAGATT